CACGGGAGATTCGCAGTCTCCAATGTTGGCCGAGAGCCAGGTTTTTACACCTTGAGAAAATTCGCTGCCCCGGCCGGGGCCACTCATGCGAAATCACGTGCAATATGACGTGTATAGTACGCAACGGAACCACTGATCTCTATTATACCAGCTAGCATAATAGAGATGAGCGCGTGAGGCTCATATAGGGTTTATGTCCCCCAGGGTACTGCCGTACATAAACCGACCAGGCTCTCCGACTGTTACACGGCGGAGGACGTAGTGTTACCATATGGTGTTACGCAGGGGCGCAAATCCAGGGGGGGACAGGGGGACATGTCCCCCCACGAATNACTAGCGCCACTTATGTATATATGTATATAATCTAATATATATTTGAGTTCGTATGTATGTATGTATGTATGTATGTATGTATGTATGTATGTATCTTCCCTATAGGCGGCCAAACCGCCCAAGCGATCTGGATGCAATTTTCACAGGGCCATCTCTTATACTCGGGGAGTGTTCCTAGATTTAAAAAAACCTGTCAAACCGTCAAACTCACCGAAAAATCCGTGAAAAACCTGTCAATTCGTGAAACTTCACACAATGTCAGCACTCACTGTACAGTGCTGCCACACAGAAAAATTGATTCCGTCACCTCATCCGGCTGCTGGTATTGTGAAACCGAAACCAATACTAAAACACACCACGCGTTAACCAGCACCAGTTTCACCAGTTCAGAGGTACTACTCACTCAGCTCAGAGGTTCAGTTCAGATGCTACGATCTCTCAATGCATTGTACCATTCGAAAGCTATGCAATTTCTGATTCAGTAGGAAAATTTCTTCATTTCAACATGCATGGTTGCGTGTCTCTATCTATACTATGAGCAGCTAATAATGACAAATTTGTCATTATTAGCTCCTGATACTATATTCCTTTTATTCATGCTACGATCTCACAATGAATAGCTTGTACGTGGGGAGCTCAAGAGTTGGAGACGCCAGGAATCTCTACATATTTCCACCAGAGAATAAGACGAAAAACATTCTTTATCAAGAGGCTTTCAAATGAAAAGTCCAACCCATTCCTACATGCTCTTATAATAACTTTTTGTCATTTACACCATATTACTATTATGTTCCAGGGGTTCTAAGTTCGGTTGTGCTGTCATATAAATATCATACGTAACAGTTTTTTCGTTTTTCCCATGCTTATTATCTTATTACACTCATTTCTAAATATTAATATTGTCTGCAATATGTTATTGTCGATTTTTACCCAATGTTCCTATTCTGTTTCATTATTAGTACCATGAATTAGTAGCACGATTTTACCCAGCTCAGCGGGTACCCGCAGCTAGTATGTTAAATAATTGCCAAACCGTACGTAATTTGCATAACTTTTTTTTTAAATATCAAAACCCTTAGCCCTTATTCATTTAATTCAAATACCAAAAATGAGCAAAATCCGTTGAACCTGAACTGACTAATGGCAATTCCCATGAGTCACGATACTATTCGGTACTATATGAGTAATATAGTGTTAGAGCCACCCGGGAAGGTTCTTAGAATCAATACTGAAACCGACTTGTTATTCATGATCTGGTTCTGTGTGAACTGGTTGTGTTATTGAGTGGCTTGTTAAATAAATGAGTTCTGTTCATTAAAAGATATATAGTTCATGGTATCCTGAACGCGACATGGTGTCAGAAGTAAACATGGACATACAGTGATCAT